TGTTCGCAGCAGAAACGACTGATTTAATTCTTATTCCTAGTGGTGGAACAAGAGATGTTTTCTTATTGTAAATATCTTCGTACAGAGGATTAAATACACATTTAAAGGCTGGATTTGACTGATTGGAATATAATTTAGTGATGTATTGTAAAGATAGTTTCAGACGGCGTTGTTTAAGAGAAGGCTCATCCGCCTCAACAGACAGACTTGGAATAGGAGAAGTGCGAAAGGCTCCAAGGCAAAGCCTCAGTCCTTGGAGATGGATAGAATCAAGTTTTTTAAGTTACTTTTACAGGCTCCACCATAGACGATGGAGCCATAATCAAGTTTGGAACGGATCAGTGACCCGTATAAGTGTAGGAGGGTAGTCTGATCCCCTCCCTACTTGGAACTAGAAACAACTTTCAGTAGATCAAGTGCCTTCAGGCATTTAGCTTTAAGGTATTTAATATGTGGGAGGAAAGTTAAGTGATTATCAAAAATAAGACCCAAGAACTTGGCTTCCTTAACAACTTTGATAGGGGTGCCATTCAGAAATAGTTCAGGGTCCTTATGCGGTTTATATTTTCGGCAGAAATGTTTGCAATTAGTTTTTGATTTGGAAAATTTAAACCCGTTTTCTAGACACCACTTGTTAATTTTATTAAGACATAATTGTAATTGCCTTTCAATTGTGTGCATATTTTTACCCCGGCAAGATAGATTAAAATCATCCACAAAAAGTGATCCATCAACTGAATCATTTAAAACTTTTGACAAGCTGTTAATTTTTATACTGAATAAAGTGACAGACAAAATACTGCCTTGTGGGACACCCTGATCCTGATTATAATGATCAGACAGGGTTGTACCCACTAGGACTTGAAATTGCCTGTCTGTTAAAAACTGGGATATAAAATGAGGCAGACGGCCTCTTAATCCAAAATCATGAAGATCTTTTAAAATACCATGTTTCCATGTTGTATCGTAAGCTTTTTCTAAATCGAAAAAGATCGATACAGCATGTTGTCTATTTACAATGGAATTTTTAATGAACGATTCTAAACGCACTAAATGATCGATAGTACTTCTGTTCTTCCGGAAACCACATTGTATATTGGTAAGAAGATTATTTGTTTCCAAGTACCACACTAATCGATTATTTACCATGCATTTACAAACACAGCTAGTTAGTGAGATAGGTCAGAATGATCCCGCCCAGGTTTGGGTATTGGTATAACAATGGCATTATGCCATGAAGGTGGAAACGTCCCAGATGTCCAAATATCATCAAATATAGTCAACAAAGTTTCAAGGCATGATTCGGGCAAGTGTTTCAGTAGCTGATAATGAATATTATCAGCGCCTGCTGCTGTATCATGAGCTTGCCCTAAGGCAGTATATAGCTCATGTAGTGAAAATACCTCATTGTAATCTTCACCATTATCAGATGTAAAATTTACTTTTTTCTTTTCCTGTTGGAGCTGATATTTTTGAAATTCAGGAACGTAATTTGATGAAGACGAATGTTGAGATAACGTTTTCCCAAGTCTATTGGCAATATCAGATTTATTCGTTCGCAAAGTATCGCCATCCTTTAGATGGTTTACTGTAGAATTTGCAATTAGCATCAAACCACGGTTTACGAACACGTGGGTTGACAGAGGACTTAGGAATTGATTCATCAGCAATTTCATTCAGTTGATCTGAAAACAACTGAATCGGGTCAGTAACATTCTGAAAAGACGTAGGTTTTAATTTATCTTTGCATAAAGATTGAAATAAAAGCCAATCAGCCTTCACAAAATTCCATCGAGGTGAAGGTGGATCATCAGCGGGATTAATGGGCTTAAGCACCGTGGGGAAATGGTCACTCCCACACAGGTCATCGTGGACGGACCATGAGAATTCATTTAACAAAACGGAATCCGTCAAAGACAGATCTAATGATGAATACATACCAGTTGCAGGGTGTAAGTAAGTGTCTGAGTCATCATTAAAGATGCAAAGGTCATTATCAGAAACAAAATCCTCGATCACTTTTCCCTTTTGATTAATGGTGGAACTTCCCCATAAAGGATTATGCCCATTTAGATCACCCATGATGACACAGGGCTTTGGGAGCTGGTCGTATAGTTTTTGTAGATCATTACGCTGAAGATTTGAAGATGGAGGAATGTATAAGGAGCAAAGTGTGAAGGCAATATGCAGTGTAAGTCTAACTGCAACTGCTTGAAGAGTCGAGTCAAGCGGAACAGGACTGTGAACAACGCCCCGCCGCACCAAAATAGAAGCACCTCCAGTAGCTTTATCTCCCGGAGGAGAGAAGGAATGATACGAACTATACTGCCTTAAATCAAATTTATCTGTATTTTTTAGGTACGTCTCTTGTAAAGAAATTGCTGATGGACTTAAATCTGTTGTTAACAATTGCAATTCGTTAAAATTGTGCCTAAGTCCTCTGCAATTCCATTGAAATATATTTGAGTTGGTCATGGCGGTTCTATAGGAGATCGCTCACGTGAACGGGAAGAAGGGTCACCACTCATGGAAGATGGAGTAACATCCATCTCGAGAGGATCAAAGAAGTTCTGAACATCGACAGATGTTTCAGTAAGAGTAGGGATCTTAGTTGTAATTTTCTTGTTATGTTTCTTCTTTTCTTTCTTGGGTATGTCAGTTGATGGTTTTATACTTGCCGTTTTTCTCAGGAGTTGGTTTAGTTGGGGCCATAACCTGAGTCACAACCTGAGATGCTGAAGAGATGCCACATGATTGACTTTCAGAATCATTGGTCTGACTCTCTGACGTTGTAACCACAGGCACAGGGTGTTCAGAGTGTGCCCATGTCAAGTCAGTTTGACATTCTATAGATCTTGTGGTAGAAGGTCGAGAGACAGCAGCAGCATAAGTTTGCACTGATGGAGGTGACCGGCTGGCAATGACTTTTTTAGCTTCCTGAAAAGAAATGTTGTTTTGACATTTGACTGTCAAGATATCTTTTTCATGTTGCCAAAGAGGACATGATTTTGAAGAGGCAACATGTTTACCCTAACAATTCACAAATTTGGGGTCAGCAGAACAATCTGAGGCGTCATGATGTGCACCACAACGGTGACAAACACTCGGCCGATCGCATGATTTGGAACCGTGTCCAAACTTCTGACACTTGTAACATCGGAGTGGATTGGGGACATACACCTCCACTCCGATGTTAAAATAGCCTGCCTTGATAGATTGCGGTATGGTCGACAGTGAAAAAGTGAACAAATGCGTATTTGTTGGGACAATGTTATCTCCATCCTTTCTTGTGAAACGTTTCACGGAAGTGACATGTTGATCAATGAGTTCATCAAGAATTTCCTCTTCTGTCATTTCTGCCAGACAACGGGCTCTGTCGCGGATGATGCCTCGACTTGAGTTCAACGTTCTGTGCGCAGAGACAGCAACTTCAGTGTTTGCGAATGTAGTACACCTCAAAAGATTGATAGCTTGCTGTCTCCGTGCACACTCTACCAAAAGAGAACCGCTCCGGAGCCGTGAAACATTCTTGACTTCACCACAAATACCCGCAATGGCTTTAGATATGGCAAAAGGATTAATTTTCAACGGTAGTTGATTTCATGATTCAACTACTATAAATCGAGCCCAAGAATTAGAATTTTGTGAAACGGAAACATCATCATCAGATGATAAAATCTCAGCTTCGAGACGTCTCTTCTTTTCATTTCGGTTTGAACCAGAAGGATTGTGAGCCATGATGAAATTAATGTATTCAGCACCCCTGCTCCCCACCCACCATGGAGTGCTACAAAGAGCGATGTTTTCCTGCACCGGATCTCCAACATGCAAACATCAGGGATACAGAGGTGTTATACTCCAGTAAGAACAACATGAATAGCTGTATTTGTCTATCAAATAAAATGTCAGGCTGGTTCGGCCCATGGCAAGAAATTGAAGACATACAAAACTCAGAGGTCGAAAGTACCAGATTGGCCCATGAGCCACCGCCTTCTGGCGTAATACTCCAGGCAATTTTGTCAATCAAAAATTGAGAATTCAAACAAGTAAAGCACAGCCAAGACCAAAATATACATTAAAATACAACACAGTTCTGCATACACAATATTACGCACAGGGCCTGGCATGACCAGCCGATTGATAAGACCGGGCTCATCTTACCACCCGTCTAGGCGAAGTAAGGGTCGAAGTAGTGTGTTGAGCAAAGGAACACAGTTCCAGGAACCAGTGCCCTCAACTACCAGACTCCCGTCCTCCGCCGACACAGGGACGCAACCCACGGCAAACGGGCTGCCCACTTTGGTCGCCTCTTACGACCAGCAATGGGGTGCTGTGGAAATATTCTACCCCGGTTCCACACGGGGGAAGAGCTATTAGCGCTACCCAGCACTCACCACGAGGAGGTTGCTCTTCACGAGTGCCCACGAATCAAAGAATTACCACCAGCGGAAGTGTATTGTCCGGGTAAGTGAGACAATTTTGTGTGCATTTCAGTGTTTTGTGTATGAAAATGACCATCCGGTTCCGGAAACTGAATTTCAGTACATATGGGTAAATTTAAATAGTAATCATTTCATTTTGAATGAAATTCGTCCGGGAACCGAGGTTTCCGGATATCTGAAGTCCGTTTCACCTGACATGCATAAGTATTCAAATAAAATAACCACTACATATAAAAGACTGCAAGAAAGACATTAAAACCCATTAAATAGAGGTCACTTGTTCTTTCATTTTCAGGTAAACTAAAAAATTATGAAGAAAAGGCAAATTAGTGTTGCTGACAAGGTAAAAACATCACACCATAAAAAGAAACATGTCATTTCAGTTTATGTGAGCTAAAAGTTGAGGGATTCAACCAATGTTTTGGAAACTTTTGTACTCAGGCTTATATAAAAACTAGTATTATATTACTCATATAACAATCATGATAAAAGTTTTATTACAATTAAAACATGACATTTTTTCCCCAAAACATTACCTCATATTGTAAATTCATCAAATTAGATTACCTTTCTTTCATCTCCTGAAATACCTGACCTATAAAGTCATGGCTATCTGTAAGATTCTGCAGACTTGATTGCTCCCTGAGAAGCGATGGAGATGATAATGATGATAGCTCTTGACAGTCTGACTGTAGCTGCTGTATCACTCTCTCGTTTATTTTATTTCTTGAACTGGGGTGGGACAAAAGTAAGGTCACAACTTGCTCCAAGTCCTCAGATGCAACTGCTTGCATTAGTCCATGTAAATATGTCTGCTGTGGCTGTTTCACCAACTTCAGCAAATGACTCTAAACAGCGAAAAATACTGGTACCATTGTTGTATTTTTTTCATATATCTTAATCCATTACTCATCTGATAGAAATACTAAAAAAATGTATATTTCAGTTTACACTTTTGGTAAATGTAGATGGCTTCTGTAGTTACTCACATTAAAGAAGACATTAACTTTCTCCTATCAAATAACATTTTTATCTCTTCAAAACAAAAAAGTACAATTGGTCCTATTTGATACTTGATTTCAGGTATGTACCATGAGTTGAAAATGTAGATGGTAGCTTTTGTTTTGGTGGCAAATCCAAACAATAGTTGTGTTCACCAACTGCAGCCTTTGGTTTTTCATCGGGTTCAGTCCCTAAAACAAAGTAAAGTACTGTGAGCATGTTCAGAAAGAGACAACAATATCACATAAACAATCATCAGGACAAGCATGAGTACAATAGGTGCAAAGGAAATATTGTATTTACGCATAAATCATATGTGAAACACATTTTTCCAATAATTTATTATATAGCTTATTTCATTTCAACACATTTACAAACATTATTATTTACTCAAAGTATTCTCTTTTACTCTAATAGTATTATGTGCAATATACCACAAGCCATTTACCAGTAGAACAGATTTTGGTACACGGTGAGGCTGCATAAATGTGTTCAGCTTCTTTTTGCACAGAAAAAGATGATGCTATATTCAAAAATAAGATAATACATATTAGGCCAATGAAAATTTATGTATCTTAAAGATATGACAAAGGAAAACTAATTCTTAAATTAATCTACAGCTAAATCACATTACTTCCTTATACAACCAAAGTTCCTTTCCAATTTCATATTCACAGTAGAATACAGTACAAATGTAGTATCAGTATCTCTAACTCTATATGTATCTATCATCTGTGAAAAAAGGGAGAAATAGGCCATACCATCTGATTCTTCATTATGGGAAGCAGGTGAACTTCTCTTGTTTTCAGTGTAACTTGTGACATTCTTTTTGCAAGTGGAAAGGTCAATGTTTAACTCTGTGAATGTAAATGATACTGCCAATCATTTAAATGTAGGAGCTGACACTGCCTAGTTACAAATTGTCTGGTAATACACAATTCTGGTAAAACATCATCAAATTAAGCACGACACAGACATATTTTTTCAATATAAAGGGCCCAATGACCCAAACTACAAATATTGGTATTACATAACTATTAATCCAGTGTAAGGTCATTTTAACTGCACCAATGTAACATAACTAGTTATTATGTTTAAATACAGAGTACAAATATGTACAGTATGAGAAAGAGATGCATCTATGTACCTAGCTTCCTTCAATGTACACTTTGAGAAGAGCTGACATAACTTACTTAAGAAGTTTCTTATATTAAAACATATCAATGATTATTTAAGGAAAGGTGTCCCTTTAACATAAAAATTTAAACACAAAAAATAACATTTTTATTTTGCACTAAGGTTATTTTTGTTGTTGGAAAACATACAACATTAATAATAATAAGGATATTAACACAAGAATGTATTATTACATCACAAAGTAAGAATACATGCAGTGAATAAGTATTCTCGATGTGTTTGCCTTTGACCGGAATCGAACCGAGTCTAAAGATTACTCTTTCAGACTACCATTCAAAAGCTTCATTACATCTAATTTCAATGTTAAAAAATGTACACTTTGTTATTATGCAAATCAAAGGGTTAACCCATCATCAGCGTCAGAAACTGACACAAGTCCTTCAGTCCTTGCCAAACTGCCCAATTGTTAAGGTATCATAAGGACTAGTAGAAATTTGCCATTTATAAATGTTAATAAACTTGCTGAAATAGTATATGTGTGAACATTCCACACTTTCTAAAAACAAATGTATGTTAATATAAAAGGGCACTCACTGTAAATGACGATGAAAGCAATACCAGTCGGTCTTGCTTCAGCCATCAGAGGATGTTGAGCTCCAGCAATGCAATAATATGTTTTGGAAATATTTTAGCTTCTACCTCATACCTCATGCTTAGTTAAAATTCTTTGCAACAGATGAATCACAATTCCAAATGTGTGCTTGAGGTTTCAAGGTTGATTTATCAAATGAGACATATGCAATCAAGCAATAAAATCTATTTAAATGGGCACTGATCTAACACAATTCCCCGGGACTGGTTGTTGCCTTTGTTATTGTTTTTTCCCAGTGAGTACCCGGATGTATAGCAGAAATCTAGACTAGTTCGCGACCTCTGCTGCGCCATTCGTAAGCGCATTAGTCACTTGTATGGGTAGTAATCAGGGCGTATAGTCACATTGATCAACAAAATGAAATACAGTTTTCAAGATAATAAGGAAATGTAGGTATCTTTGTGGGTAGCATCGGTAATGGTGACAAAGTTTTGATACGACACTTGCTTGGTAATTTTGCGATTTTGACTTGCAACAGAAAGTAAATATTTCACCTGAGCATTGCTTTTATATAGTGTGTATATTTTTTTACTGTCAAAATGTGAGTGTGTGAGTGAGTGAGTGAGTGAGTGAGTTAAAGTTTAACGTCACATCGGCAATATTTCAGCCATATCGTGACGAAACAAAATTTGATATGAACAATATATATTAAACTGTTTAAAATTCTGCTGACAAAGAGCAGTAGAATAACTAGAACATCACAGACATTTGTAAAACTAGTTGGAGAACAAGTAAAAATAGATAACTAACTAATCATTTAACAACACATTATAAAAACAGGCTATAGATCGCCACCAACTGAAGGTTGATCACCGCGCTGGGGACCATGGGGACTTACAGTACTTTTGCTACCTGCATGGACCCCAGTCGGATTTACATCATCCCTTCAATTGTTGGCGATGACTGACAAATTTAGCCAAACAGTAAAATTACACATATACTACTATTAAAAACGTGGAAGAAGTAAATATACCTTGAAAGACGTGGTCTAAGGGGGACAATAATTTTACACTACTTTAACCCCCTTCGAGGATATAGCCACTAACAATCTCAGTTATTGATTTATTCAACCAATTATAAAATGCATTTATTTATTTACAAAACATAATAATCAAAACTTATGAAGCAATTCAATTTCCTTTAAAAACGCAATAATTAAATGAGAACTAATAGTGTTAAAAAGATCCTTCATAGATTTAACCTTGAAATAGTTATCCCTTGTGATGGAAAAATCAACACAGTCAAGCAGGACATTTTCAAATTTATTGAACGCCTAAATATTCAGTTATTTTACAAAGTGACTGAAAAACATTTCCATCTGTATTATAATGATAACAAATTCCAAATATTTTGATGTTTAATGTCATCACCAAGAGACTGAAAATGTTACAGTTGAAAAGTACATTTCTATGTTGTTTGGCTTCTAATCCTACATAATAATCAGTTGTGATGTTTGTAGGCCCTTTTGATCGTCTTAATCAATCTGAACAGATTTTTTAGTCAAAATGACTGAAATATTTACACATTTTATAAATTGCCTGAGAGAATCACGTTTTACAAATTGACGGTAATATATACACGCTTACAAAGGAAAAGGCCTGTGAAAATAACGTCTATCGCGCATTGAAGAATTTCCCAACCAAGACGTAGAGAAACAAGGACGAATCAGTTCAATGCTACAGCAAATGAAGGAAAACAAAATGCAAATACCATAATTACAACCTACCAAATGTATGTGTATAAATTTTAGGCAGCTTCCTTGTTCGAGGAATGTATCCATGAATATCCACACAAGGAACAATATCCCACTCGTCTGCAGCTGTACAAATAAACTTATTCGACGTCACGTTTCTCTGTAACAATCACATATTTTAAAAGATATATATCGTTTTGGGATATTTTAACCCGTGTTCGTTTCTCAACTGATCACTTGGATTGTTTCAGGTGTTTCACATAGGTGTCAAGTGTCAAGGGTCAGCTGAGAAAGCCCACGTGACAACTATTTTCATAACGTCCACAGTTCCTAAAAAATCCATTGAGTGATAGATAACAATGATCAATCAATCACCGTATTATCAGTTAACCCTTTGAACAAAGTAAGTTGTTTTTACATCGGCCATGATATGAGTGTATGTAAACACTCACAGGAGAAATGCCACTTAAACTATGTAGGGAACAACTTACCCTAAACTTCTGGGCCGCATCCCAATCAAACCCTCTAATCGAAAACTTGATAAAAAACAATATTAGCCCTAGAAACCAAGCCCTAGCCCGGAAACATCCACTACTTACTCCCAGAAATAAGCTTAAACTTACCCAGCTCAAAATCAGAAATCAAAAGTGTCACTAAACAAAAAATCAACAAAAAATGGCAAAATATATACCAAAACTCAAATAGCCAAATCAGGAAAGTACTAAAAAAACACCTAAATAAACCAAAAATACTACACCCATACAAAAAAAATCGACAGAATAATTACTAAACTACAAACAGGCCACACCAAACTAAATAACCACTGTAAAATAGCTAATCTTACACACAACAGGAAACTGCCCACATTGCAAACAACAAGAAACACCAGAACACGTACTCATTCACTGCACACACTACCAAACACACCGAACAACACTACAGACCACCCTAAATCTTAAAACCGGACTTACACTAGAATCAATCCTAAATTCACAAAATAAATTAGAAAAATTCAAAGCCTTAGGCATATACCTAATTAAAACAGGACTAATTAGTCATATTTAAACCCCAAATAAAATATTAAAACCAAAACTACCTTATCTTACAACCACCCAACACATATAGCTCCCTTAGTTCATCCCCCACCCACTCTTGGCATTCTTTCCAAATCTAAAAATTTCAAAATTACTATATAAGCAACCCCTAAAGCCCCCCTCCTGGGTTGCACAAACTCACTTTTCCCCTTTTTGGAAACACATTAAATGGCCTGGCCGGGCCTGTGTGCAGTCGGAAAGCGCACGTTAAATCTCCAATATAAGTAAGTAAGTATGCGAGCAAAGACCACTCGCATTTTTCGCAATTAATTCACGCTCGCTTTAATTTCAAGATTTATAGTATCTATGTCTGCATGTAATTTTTTTTAAATTTTGTGACTAACCCTTAATTGTCCACACAAACACGATCTGTGAAGACATTTAGTACCTAACACTTCATTAGCTTTATTTACCCTACTGCATGACCAATCCCTGAGATATGTGTAATAAATTACACATGACACAGTCATCAGAGATCTGGGATTATCCTACTTAGACTAGTTTATGTATCCATGTTTCATCTTGGATAAATGTATGGGACCAGGGTGCAGACTGGTTATGTCTGGTGCAACTGGCTTTTCTTGTCAACATGCACCCGGTGCAAGTCAAATCAAGATCCTAAAATCAAAACTTGCCTTTGTTTATTTGTAATCTAAAGTATCGCATACGATTACGCGGGAATAGATTGTTACCAAGTTGAGATGCTTGTTTTTTACGTGTGTTTTGCATTCTGGATTTCTGCTGAGAAACCGATTTGCAATCCGTTGTATGGACATAAGGCGGGCGGGCGGGCGGGCGGGCGGGTGGGCGATGACTTTGTCAACTATACGCTTGTTTGCATTTATTTTTTTCCAGGAAATCATCACTTGTGGATGGGATGTCCTGTCTCTAAATTGAATATCCTGTGGACCATTGTGAGACATATTACTAGCGCCTCAACATGTCCAGGAACCAAGGTGCCAGAAGAGCCGGAGGCCACCCAATATCTATCAACGGAATTCTTGACAATGTAAGTGTTATCCTGGTTACTGTTTAGTTCTGGGCGTAACGATTGATGGAGCTATTATGCAACACAATTGTCCATGGCCTAAACTTATAAATTATCTCTCGATGCCATGCTACATTATCGATAGTGCTAGTAGTAGCAATAATTTATATGTTTAATTTTTATAACCCAAAGTACACATTGCTTGAAGAATGAAGATACATATCCATTAAGAATACCGTATTCGACATAATAAGCGCCCAGGGCGCTCTCAATATTAGAAATAGGGGGCTCTTTTTAGAATATTATTTTGGTGAAAAACAACAGAGTTGAAAGATCGTAAATTTTAATTTAATTTCCAATAATAAAGGATGCATATAACGCACATATTATACAGGAATAAATAAGTCTTGTGTACATTGATCAATCGGAAGGGGTGCTAATTGGGATTGTTCACCAGCCAATATTGCTGTAAATATTGCCGTGGGTGCTTCTTAGAGCGGGGCACTTATTACGTCAAATACAGTATGCTCATAAATATCATATAATCAGAACCTAGTGTAAGCATGGTAACAGTCAAATGTTTGTTTTCGCTTTCTATCTCCAGTTTCCATTTATTCAGTCATACACCTTGTCCATAACCATGGTAACAGTTTTGTTCGTTTGTCAGGCCATGAGGGCAGTGAAAGATGCACAGATTGCTGTTGCCCAGATACAGAACATCTCCGACATAGACAAAGCCCCGCCCTACATCTCTCCTAACACCTCTTTGGTGAACCCTATGACTGGGGAGAGGATACCTCCCACTGGAGCCTCTTCATCAGCATCTGCCGCCAGACAACCAGGTAGGTAGGAGGGAGGGAGGGAAGCAAGAGATGAGAGATGATGTAAGGTGTTCAAGGGGGGGCCGTCTTGCCGAGGCAAGTGTGTCCACTGGCCTATGTCAAAGCCTAGTTTCTACCCTTGCCACATCATGGCCATTTTTCTTTGCTTGACCCTGGCACTACCTCGCGTAGATCACGAGTTGTACCCCTTGTAATGAAAACGCGACATCCAATCAGAACGCTGTTCTTATCTCGAATAGCTTCACAAAGATGGCGACTACCATAGGCGACGACCTAGTCAATCAGATAACGAAATCATTCATGATTTCATCCCCGACACAAAAACATAGGCAATCATATTTCGATGAAAAAACATGTCAACAAAGACAGGCAGGTAAATCTCTTCACACGAAGGTGGGTTGGCTAGACAGGTGAGGGGGTGCAGTGAGTGATGTTAGAGTGGGGTAAGGGGGGTGTGAGGTGGGGAGGGTGAGCAGTGAGGTTAGGTGGGGTGAGGGGTTGGTGGGGTGGAGGGAACAGTGTGATAGGCATGGGGGGAGGAGGGGGGAGTTGGGGAGGGTGAGCAATGAGGTTAGGTAGGGTGAGGGGTTGGTTGGGTGGAGGGAACAGTGTGATAGGCATGGGGGGAGGAGGGGGGAGTTGGGGAGGTGAGCAATGAGGTTAGGTAGGGTGAGGGGTTGGTTGGGTGGAGGGAACAGTGTGATAGGCATGGGGGGAGGAGGGGGGAGTTGGGGAGGTGAGCAATGAGGTTAGGTAGGGTGAGGGGTTGGTGGGGTGGAGGGAACAGTGTGATAGGCATGGGGGGAGGAGGGGGATGTGAGTTGGGGAGGTGAGCAATGAGGTTAGGTAGGGTCAGGGGTTGGTGGGGTGGAGGGAACAGTGTGATAGGCATGGGGGAGGCGGATGTGAGGTGGGGAGGGGAGCAGTGAGGTTAGTTGGGGTGAGGGGTGGGTTGGGTGGAGGGAACACTGGGATAGGCATGGGGGAGGGGGTGTGAGGTGGGGAGGGGGAGCAGTGAGGTTAGTTGGGGTGGAGGGAACAGTGTGATAGGCCTGGGGGAGGGGGTGTGAGGTGGGGAGGGGGAGCAGTGAGGTTAGGTGGTGTGAGGGGTGGGTTGGGTGGAGGGAACAGTGTGATAGGCATGGGGGGAGGGGGTGTGAGGTGGGGAGGGGGAGCAGTGAGGTTAGTTGGGGTGGAGGGAACAGTGTGATAGGCCTGGGGGAGGGGGTGTGAGGTGGGGAGGGGGAGCAGTGAGGTTAGTTGGGGTGGAGGGAACAGTGTGATAGGCATGGGGGGAGGAGGGGGATGTGAGTTGGGGAGGTGAGCAATGAGGTTAGGTAGGGTCAGGGGTTGGTGGGGTGGAGGGAACAGTGTGATAGGCATGGGGGAGGCGGATGTGAGGTGGGGAGGGGAGCAGTGAGGTTAGGTGGGGTGAGGGTTGGTTGGGTGGAGGGAACAGTGTGATAGGCATGGGCGGAGGGGGGTGTGAGGTGGGGAGGGGAGCAGTGAGGTTAGTTGGGGTGAGGGGTGGGTTGGGTGGAGGGAACACTGGGATAGGCATGGGGGAGGGGGTGTGAGGTGGGGAGGGGGAGCAGTGAGGTTAGTTGGGGTGGAGGGAACAGTGTGATAGGCCTGGGGGAGGGGGTGTGAGGTGGGGAGGGGGAGCAGTGAGGTTAGGTGGTGTGAGGGGTGGGTTGGGTGGAGGGAACAGTGTGATAGGCATGGGGGGAGGGGGTGTGAGGTGGGGAGGGGGAGCAGTGAGGTTAGTTGGGGTGGAGGGAACAGTGTGATAGGCCTGGGGGAGGGGGTGTGAGGTGGGGAGGGGGAGCAGTGAGGTTAGTTGGGGTGAGGGGTGGGTTGGGTGGAGGGAACACTGGGATAGGCCTAGGGGAGGGGGGTGTGAGGTGGGGAGGGGAGCAGTGGGGTGAGGGGTGGGTTGGGTGGAGGGAACACTGGGATAGGCCTGGGGGAGGGGGGTGTGAGGTGGGGAGGGGAGCAGTGGGGTGAGGGGTTGGTGGGGTGGAGGGAACAGTGGGATAGGCATGGGCGGAGGGGGTGTGAGGTGGGAAGGGTGAACAGTGAGGTTAGTTGGGGTGAGGGGTTGGTGGGGTGGAGGGAACAGTGGGATAGGCATGGGGGAGGGGGTGTGAGGTGGGAAGGGTGAACAGTGAGGTTAGGTCGGGTGAGGGGTGGGTTGGGTGGAGGGAACAGTGGGATAGGCATGGGCGGAGGGGGTGTGAGGTGGGAAGGGTGAACAGTGAGGTTAGTTGGGGTGAGGGGTTGGTGGGGTGGAGGGAACAGTGGGATAGGCATGGGCGGAGGGGGGGGGGGTGGGGGGGGGGGGGGTGAGGTGGGGAGGGTGAACAGTGAGGTTAGTTGGGGTGAGGGGTTGGTTGGGTGGAGGGAACATATGGATAGGCATGGGCGGAGGGGGGGTGAGGTGGGGAGGGTGAGCAGTGAGGTTAGTTGGGGTGAGGGGTTGGTTGGGTGGAGGGAACATATGGATAGGCATGGGCGGAGGGGGGGTGAGGTGGGGAGGGTGAGCAGTGAGGTTAGTTGGGGTGAGGGGTTGGTTGGGTGGAGGGAACATATGGATAGGCATGGGCGGAGGGGGGGTGAGGTGGGGAGGGTGAGCAGTGAGGTTAGTTGGGGTGAGGGGTTGGTTGGGTGGAGGGAACAGTGTGATAGGCATGGGCGGAGGCGGGGTGAGGTGGGGAGGGTGAGCAGTGAGGTTAGTTGGGGTGAGGGGTGGGTTGGGTGGAGGGAACAGTGGGATAGGCATGGGCGGAGGGGGGGTGAGGTGGGGAGGGTGAACAGTGAGGTGAGGTGGGGTGAGGGGTTGGTGGGGTGGAGGGAACAGTGTGATAGGCCTGGGGGAGGGGGCTGCGAGTGAGATGGGAAGGGTGAGCAGTTAGGTTGGTTTGGATGAGAGGTGGGTGGGCAGAGATGCGTAATAACTACGCTTTTGAACCTCAAATTAGGATTTTACATTTTTCCTACCCAAATTACGACATATTTTTCACATATTATTTACATGTATAAAATATCACAGAGAGCAAATTGTTTATTCAAAGTTAATTACCAAAGTTATTCCATATACAATACCATTGTTTGAAATGTGGCCCCGATGTATGTCACTGATAAGGTTGTCGCTTGCCGTTATGGAACTTGTCTTTTATGAGTACTTTTTCGATGTTTGAATTGATATTCAGTTTCAAGGTTTTGTCATATTATTCCATACAAACGCAAGTGGAGTCATTTTCCCTGCTTAATTTGAGCTTTATTGTCCTGTTTTAAAAATAGTGCGGCTTGCATGTGCAGCTACATTCCTAGCGTCAGTGCATGTGTACCCATGCATCACATATGTATATGCCTAATGAAAATGTTGAATCGTTAAACCAGCATCATGGCATGACACTCTTAACATTACTCTTTTTCACATGAAATTACACTGTTTTACCCCACTAATTACTCCAAAGTTTTATTTAGGGTTGGCATCTCGGGGTGGGGTGGGCATGTGAGTGAGTGAGGGGTGGGGGGGGGGGGGGGGGAGTCAGGTGGGGAGAGGGGGATGTCAGTGAGGATGGAGAGAAGGAGCAGTGACACCCTTGGGTACAAGGTGCGGTGAAATGTGTCCTGGACAGATTCCCTTCTTGTCCTGCACCATTTCGTGTCTTTTCCATGTTTTGTGTATATGATACTGAGTGAGTGCAAGGAATTTCGAACCCAATTTTAATGAAATTCCTATGTTAATTTCTATGACATATTTTTTCTCTGTACATTATGTACCGACTAATGCAGAAGATGAAATGTTATCAGACTGCCATGGCACAACATTAACCTGACAACCTGATAAATGATTCAAGTCAAATAGAAGATTCAGTAAAGGGAAGTTCCAATTGCTATTTCTGTAACCAAAGATAACTCAGCAATCAAAAGGACATATGGTACCCCAATCAACATCGTGAACAGTCTACAGATCGGCCACTACAACACGATGTACGTCCAGACAGGACGCCAGCAGAACCAGGAGGTGGAAGAGGACTCATCCTCCGATTCTGACAACTTTGACAATGAGGAAGACGTACAGGAGCAGGTGCGGAAACGGCGTCTGGCTGATAAGGAAACAGCTGAAATACTTAGGGGTGAGTTTCTGCTAATGAGGCTGAAATACTTAGAGGTGAGTTCTGCTAATTAGGCTGAAATAGTTAGATGTGAGTTTCTGTTAATGAGGCTGAAATACATTGAGGTGAGTTTCTGCTAATGAGGCTGAAATACATTGAGGTGAGTTTCCGTTAATGAGGCTGAAATACTTAGAGGTGAGTTTCTGCTAATGAGGCTGAAATACATTGAGGTGAGTTTCTGCTAATGAGGCTGAAATACATTGAGGTGAGTTTCTGCTAATGAGGCTGAAATACATTGAGGTGAGTTTCTGCTAATGAGGCTGAATTACATTGAGGTGAGTTTCCGTTAATGAGGCTGAAATACTAAGAGGTGAGTTTCTGTTAATGAGGCTGAAATAAATTGAGGTGAGTTTCTGCTAATGAGGCTGAAATACATTGAGGTGAGTTTCTGCTAATGAGGCTGAAATACATTGAGGTGAGTTTCTGCTAATGAGGCTGAAATACATTGAGGTGAGTTTATGTTAATGAGGCTGAAATACATTCAGGTGAGTTTCTGTTAATGAGGCTGAAATACTTTGAGGTGAGTTTCTGTTGATTTTGTTAATTGTACATGGGCCTTATTGTATTTATTGTACATGGGCCTCATTGTATTAATTGTACATGGGCATCATTGTATTAATTGTACATGGGCATCATTGTATTTATTGTACATGGCATCATTGTATTAATTGTACTTGGGCCTCATTGCATCAATTGTACATGGACATCATTGTATTTATTGTACATTGGCATCATTGTATTAAGTGTAAATGGGCATCATTGTATTTATTGTACAGGGACATCATTGCATCAATTGTACATGGGCCTCATTGTATTAATTGTTCATGGGCATCATTGTATTAATTTCATATGGGCATCATTGCAGCAATTGTACATGGGCGTCATTGCATCAATTGTACATGGACCTCATTGTATTAATTGTACATGGGCATCATTGCATCAAATGTACATTGGCCTCATTGTATTAATTGTACATGGGCATCATTGTATTTATTGTACATTGGCATCATTGTATTAATTGTATATGGCATCATTGCATCAATTGTACATGGGCCTCATTGTATTAATTGTACATGGGCCTCATTGCATCCATTGTACATGGGCATCATTGTATTAATTGTACATGGGCCTCATTGCATCAATTGTACATGGGCATCATCGTATTAATTGTACATTGGCCTCATTGTATTAATTGTACATGGGCCTGAGACCTTAACACTGAAATAAATGATTGATTGATTGATAATTTATTGACAGGCAACCTATTTCTCACAAATACACTAGGGCGGTCGGGTAGCCTAGTGGTTAAAGCGTTCGCTCGTCACGCAGAAGACCCGGGTTCGATTCCGGACATGGGTACGATGTGTGAAGCCCATTTCTGGTGTCCCCCGCTGTGATATTGCTGGAATATTGCTAAAAGCGGCATAAAACCATACTCACTCACTCACTCACAAATACACTGATGATAAGAAAAGGACATATAACTTATATCTCATGACTCAAGAGTCTGAACATATTGAATATAACTTGAGTGTCACATGAAAAAGAGGATCATGTGATAGTTACCTATACCTCACAGTTAAGTTTGAGATAACTGATGAACATTTGTGTTGTAGATTCGCATCGCCAGGTCTCAGATGTTGAGCTCCAGCGATTGTCTCGTTACGTCGGTGGCTCGTGGAGGCGATTAAGTAAGTGGGCAGCCATGAACACGTCTGAAATCATATGAACAATGTTTTAGCCATTGCTAGGTGATGAGATACACAATAGCTGTGGGTTTTCAGCCTGAGTCTCAGATTTGTATGACAATCAACTGACATGTAGAATATTCCAGTTTCTTTCCCATATTATCCCAGTTGATATCATTCATTCATGAACTATTTACCTGACATTTCTGAACATGGTCTTTTGGGTTCAGGGCTGATTGTCTTAAATAAATAAATAAATAAATAAATAAATAAATAAAATAAATTTTAAAAATTTCAATTTCAAATATATTTTTTTATATTTGCCACAAGTTGGAAGGAAAAAACAAAATAGTGGTGGCATGAGGAAAGGGAAGGCAGCAAGTTTGGAGTTACCTCCCTTCCATTATAGATTCATTTATCACAACTGGTCCATTACGTGTTCTGTATTTCCTGAAATAACCATCAACTTTCCGAAGAAACGAGAATTTTATTTTGTCAGTGATGATTTTGTCAATGTTTTGCTTGTATGAATAAATGCATTGCCCGTCTTTAAGTGATGGAATGTTATTGGAATGTTTCTAAAATAATGTATACCCCCTGGCACAGCCTGTTGCCAATGCCAATACAACTGATGTGTTAAAAGAGGATTTTGTGTTTAGGGGTGTGTGCTAATTTCAGGAAATATGGTATTAAGAAGTTTATGAAGTGAAATCATTCAGATTTTGTTTTCTGATAGGATTGAGTTATTGCAAGATAAATTAAAGATTGAAAGGTATTTTCTCTGTTTCAATGGTTACGGATGTTTGCGTGGATCGTATGAATACGTTTGACCAATGGGATTTTTTGTATTGGTTTGAAAATTATCATCACCCAGCTAGGACTGGAGTGTGATGATTCATCATGTTCATAGCGAAGTGTTTGCGCGTCCAGAGAGTGAAAATTTTGTTTTGAATAAAGAAAAATAAGAATTATCATCATCATTTTCTGTTTATAAGGAAATAATCAATGCCTTTCTTGTTATTAACATTGTGAATGTTCCAAGCTTGAATCGCCTGTTATATGGATATGTTCATTGTGTTGTAAAACTTTTATGATTGGACTTGACTTATCTTTGCAATGTTGACACCAAACTCCATCCCAGTGTGTGACCCCTTCGATTACCCTCCCAGTATCATCGCTGCCAGTGTCACCGCTTCATCGCAGGGAAGTGCTGTGACTGGTGGCAGCAATAGTATAGAGAGCCTCACAAATGGACTAGCACTGTGAGGAGCTTGTGTTGACACATGGCTTCAGGAGATATTATATTTCAGATTGATGTTATTCGTTTTGTTGCTGCTTATTGTTAAAAAAGTTTAATTTGAACCTGCCAACTTCAAATTGTCTTTGTTTTAAAAAACAGTTTCATTCCCCAACAGTGATGTATCCTGGGAAGAATTGATTATTGACAAGAAACTTGAGGTCAGGAGGTCCCTGTTTCTTAAAGTGGTACTACTTCCGCACATAAATATACACCTCCTCCCTGGGCAGTCCGGGTTAGAACAGGTCCCCAGCAACTGAGGCCTGCCGTGTGATGTGACTTCATGGATCACGTGGTCAGCCCAGGTGATATGGTTGATCATGTGTCAGCATTCCCTGAGCGTGGGGATTGTTGCACCCTGGCACCCTGGATCATCGATTCATCTTGATGATAGTTTTGATTTTAAGTAACATCCCACTGCTTGCATCTTCCCGAGGCAAGAGAGTTAACTGACTTTAAAAGTCCAGTTTCCACCCTTGCCGAACTAGGCTAGAAGTCCTGGGCTCGATCGTAGCGCCACCAGTGGCTATTACGAGTTATGTCCTTTCTATGTCTCTCCTATTGACCAATCAGATTCAACCTCTCGTATCACTTGCATTTGTTTCAAACAAAACGGTGGCGCCCAATCAAGACGATCTGATCAATAATCAAGATCTATATTGTGATAAAACGAGTCTTACATCGCGAAGTGCATCAAATCACGTGAGCACCTTTATTAAAAACATGAAAAGATTTAGAAAATATCTGTTGACAACGAGTTAGCGGTGCACATGCTTTGCAAATCCTGCAGTCGATCGAAATCTGCATGACACTTTACGAACCGGATTTCGATTTCGGTGCACGATTTCGATTGGACTATGCATAGACTCGTTAGCCCAGCCAAAATTTAACTCCATAATACCAGCCTAGTTCGGCAAGGGTGGAAACTGGACTTTTATAGTCAGTTAACTCACTTGCCTCGGGAAGATGACTGCTTGTGGCTCTTACCACAGTGAACATCAAAGACCTATTGTAATCAGTCTTCAGACTTTTCTTCCAGAACCAGTAGATAAGGTTTGATGTAACCAAAATACTGTTCAAAATTGCACTTACACATCCTTCTCACACTGCAGAAGCTGAAATATTTGGAAGTCTAAAGTACAAGGACTCAGTTTGACGTTTATGTATGATTTCCTCATGAACCAGCCTAGTCTGTGAGATGTTAAATCATGACTGTATTTATCTTAGATGGCTGTCATTATCTCTGTATGTTTGTTTTTTTCAAGCTTTTTGTTGTATAGTTCAGTCTTTTTACTGAAAACCACATTTCTCTGTCACCCATGAATAACGGTACATATGGCTGATATGTGGTGTTGTAGTGACACGTCTTTTTTTAGTAAGCTCACATGCTGATGAAATTTGGCTGTTTATTACTCGTAGAAGCCAACCCGGGATTAACATCACAATTTGTGCAATGTCAGCTGAATGCTCATTGGTCAGATTACCCACTGATTACCATCTGGCTGGAACCAGACTGTGTCTTGATTTGTTGGTTTTGAAAATAGAGACTACACTGCAAAGCGGCCATATGTTTCAAAGGCTTATTGAAGAACGTATTGACGATGCAGGAAAGATGATCATGATGATGTGATATAATGACCATGTTTATCTTTTCATCACCACTTATTGAAGCTGTTTTATGAGACTTCGTGTCGATGAGGTTTTCATTGTACATACTTAACTGATCCGCCGACTCTAAATTGCAGATTAAAATAAACATTTTGAGGTCATATTTCTGTTTGCTAGCCTGACAACAAAGAAAATTACTGAATGAAGAAGTGCTCCTTGTGGGTTAGTAGAAGTAGAATTTAGGGCTACTTCAGAGGTCCATCGTCAGGGTGCGGTTTGTTCAAAAGTGTTACTTCCCTTCTCATATTGATCGGCTTGAAAGAGTTCTTTTTCAACTAAATTGAAACTTGGTGGAAAGATCAGAATTTTGTT